AGCTGAGGGACAGTGCCCAGGCCCAGAGTTCAGGCCCCACGACCGACCCAAAAAAAAAACAAAAAAACACAACAACATGCATCCAGGAGAGAAATCACATGAATGTATTGAATGTGGCAAAGTGTTCTCTGGAGTTTCATCTCTTAATCTCCATTTGAAAAGTCATACAGGGAAGAAGACATATAAATGTACGATGTGTGAGAAAGCTTTTAGCCAGAAGAGAAACTTTCTTTCTCATCAGAAACATCATATGGGAGAAAAGCCCTACGACTATGTTAAAGCTAATCAAACACCAGCCTTCATGAGACAACAAATAAATCACTCAGGAGGCAAATCGCATACATGTAAGGCCTGTGGCAAAGCTTTCAGTGGCAAATCTTATCTCCATGAGCATGAAAAAATACATACTGGAGAGAAACCTTTCCAATGTCATCAGTGTGGCAAAGCCTTCAGTCAGAAGCAGTATCTCATTAAACATCAGAACATCCACAGTGGAAAGAAACCCTTTCAATGTAATGAGTGTGGCAAAGCCTTTAGCCAGAAAGAAAACCTCCTCATCCATCAGAGAATTCACACAGGAGAGAAGCCTTATGAGTGTAAAGGGTGTGGGAAAGCTTTCATTCAGAAGTCGAGCCTTATCAGACACCAGAGAAGTCACACTGGAGAGAAACCCTACACATGTAAGGAGTGTGGCAAAGCCTTCAGTGGCAAATCAAATCTCACTGAACACGAGAAAATTCATATCGGAGAGAAGCCTTATAAATGTAATGAATGCGGAACAATCTTCAGGCAGAAGCAGTACCTCATTAAACATCACAATATCCATACAGGAGAGAAGCCCTATGAATGCAATAAATGTGGAAAAGCCTTTTCTCGAATCACATCACTCATTGTGCATGTGAGGATTCACACAGGGGACAAACCTTATGAGTGTAAAATATGTGGTAAAGCCTTCTGTCAAAGCTCTTCACTCACTGTGCATATGAGAAGCCATACTGGTGAGAAACCCTATGGATGCAATGAATGTGGGAAAGCCTTCTCCCAGTTCTCAACACTTGCTCTGCATATGAGAATCCATACTGGTGAAAAGCCTTATCAGTGTAGTGAGTGTGGCAAAGCTTTCAGCCAGAAGTCACACCACATCAGACACCAGCGAATTCACACTCACTAAAGCTCTGGGAACATTTTGTATTTGGGGAAAACGTGCAGTGGAATTTACACTTGATGATGTATCAGGAAATGTTTTCACATGAAAGTGACATTCACCTGGTGAAAACTGAAAGACTTAAGATGTTTAAGGGTATAATGAAAGCCTATAACATGCCCTTCAGGACTCCCACAACAAATATTACTTCAGGAGTATTTTCGTTCAAGATTAAGATCTAGCCAGGTCCTTATGCCTGTAATCCTAGCTACTCAAGAGGCTGAGGTCTGAGGATTGTCATTTGAAGCCAGCCCAGGCAGGAAAGTCCATGAGACTCTTCACTCCAATTAACTATTAAGAAAAAGCCAGAACTGGCACTGTGGCTCAAGTAGTAAAGCATTAGCCTTGAGCAAAAGAAGCTCAAGCCCCAGAACCTACACGTGCACTCACAAACAGCTCTAGAATCTATTCATGGACATAGCATGCCCCTGGATGGCCTACCAAACATGTTAAGACATGGTATGAGAGATAGGATTTGAAATTAAAGAGACATTATTTTTGTTACATGCCTTACCATATATGTAACTTTTAAACCTATAGTCATCAGAATTCCTTGTCACTGGGGTTGTAGAAAGTTGAGACTGAGGCAGAATATTAAAGGTATCTATATGTGCACCAATTGAAAAGGAGCTGATAATGAGTAGTGGTAATATCTTCCAGATTCTTGGGGAAATTGTGGATGACTTATAAAATGGTCTCAGGGTTGTTGGCTCTTCTTATGGACACATATGCCTGTGTCATTATATTGGCTAAAGCATTTATCAAAATTTCTAAGGTATTAAAGGCTACAATGGAAAAATAAAAATAGAAATTTTATAAAGATTAGTCATAAAACCTTGGGGTTAGAATTTACTTTTTTTGTGTGTGTGTGTGTCCGGTCGTGGGGCCTGAACTCTGGGCCTGGGCGCTGTCCCTCAGCTCTTCAGCTCAAGGCGAGCGCTCTACCACTTGAGCCACAGTGCCACTTCCGGCTTTTTTTTTCTGCTTATGTGGTGCTGAGGAATCGAACTCAGGGCCTCAAGCATGCAAGGCAAGCACTCTACTACTGAGCCACCTTCCTAGCCCCGGGGTTAGAATTTCTAAACTAAATATCAGAATACTTAGCTATTAATTTTGAGTACATATACATAAGTCCAAGAAGTTGACACCCACCCAAGGAATCCTGTACTAATCAGCCTGTTCATAGCATGAATTATAGTAGCCAAAATTGAACACAAATGTTTGTTGGTTGTGAAGCAGATGGATAAAATGTGCTATAGACAACAATATTCTCTAGCAGTTAAAATACAATAAATTAAACGGTGCTGGTGGCTCAACCCTGTGATCCTAGCTACTCAAGAGGCTGAGATCTGATGATTGTGGTTTAAAACCAGCCTAGGCAGAGAAAACTGTGAGACTTGCCTCCAATTACCTACCATAAAACTGGAAATTGCCAAATGGCTCAAAGTGGTAGAGTACTAGCCTTGAGGAAAAGAGCTCAGGGCCCTGAGTTCAAGTCCCACAACTGTCAAAAATAAACACAAACTGGGTACTGGTGGCTCAAGACTGTAATCCTAGCTACTCAGGAGACTAAGATCTGAGGATCACAGTTCAAAGTCAGTCCTGGCAGGAAAGTCCATGAGGCTCTCATATCCAATAAACCACCAGAAAACCGGAAGTGGCACTGTGCCTGAAGTGGTAGAGCACTTGACGAGCTGAAGAGCTGAGGGACAGTGCCCAGTACCAGAGTTCAAGACCCACAACCAACAAAAAAAATAAATACAATAAAATACAACAAATTAAATCTGTGATAAATCATGTACAGTGGAGAAATTAAATACTAAATTTATTGTAAATGATGCCTCTGTTTAGTTAAATAAAATCAACACTAACCCTAGTACTAACTCTTGGTTATGGAAAACGAAAACAAAACAAGCTGGGTGCCAGTGGCTCACATCTGTAATCCTAGCTATTCAAGAGCCTGAGATCTGAGGTTCACGCTTCATAACCAGCTTGGCAAAAAAAAAAAAAAAATCCTCATGAGAGTCTTGTCTCCAATTAACCACTCAAAAACCAGAAGTAGTGGTGTGGCTCTAAGTAGAGCACTAATCTTGAGCAAAATTGCTCAGGGACAGTGCTCAGGCTGAGTTCAAGCCCCACAATTGTTCCCTCCCCCCCCCAAAAAAAAAGCATAAATCAAATAGATGCTCAATGTCCAAAAGTGGTTGCCTTTTAAAAGGGGGATGAAGGGGCTGGGAAGGTGGCTTAGTGGTAGAGTGCTTGCCTTGCATGCATGAGGCCCTGGGTTTGATTCCTCAGCACCACATAAACAGAAAAAGGTGGAAGTGGCACTGTGGCTCAAGTGGTAGAGCGCTAGCCTTGAGCTGAAGAGCTGAGGGACAGCACCCAGACCCCCCTTCCCCCCAAAAAAATGGGGAATGAAGAAGAATTGAAGACAACGAGGTAAGGGATACTTCACCTTTACCTTTTTCTCATTGGAAAGATTCCATGACTGGGGATGATGGCACACTTGTAAACCCAGCATTCTGGAGACTGAGAAAGAATAGTTGTGCAATTTGAGGCCAATCTTGTTTACATTATCTAATGTCTGAGATCCTACCTCAAAAACAAAAAGATTTCATATCCATATGGTAAAACATTAATCTGACCTGTGGCAACACATTTTGGTTTTAACACATATTGGTTATGTTACTTCTTAAAACAATGGTGGCTGGAAATGGCACTGTGGCTCAAGTGGTAGAGCGCTAGCCTTGAACTGAAGAGCTGAGGGACAGCACCCAGGGCCTTAGTTCAAGCCCCAAACCCGACAAAAAAAAAAAAGAAGACATTTGTTAAAACAATGGTGTCTTACACCTGTAACCCTATCTATTTAGATGGCTGAAATTGGATGGAGGATCATGGTTTGAAGCCAGTTTGGGCAATAAAGTCCTTAAGACTTATTAACCAGCAAAAACACAGAAGTGAGAATGTGGCTCAAGTGGTAGAGTGCCATCCTTGAGTGGAAAGGCTAAGAGATAGTGCTCAGACCCTGAGTTCAAGCCCCAATACTTGGACACACACACACACACACACACACACACACGACAGTTGGCCTGTCTTAGCCTCCATTTTTCTTAGCTATCCTATATATCAGTGAATAGTAACTTATAAGACAAAAGATTTACAACCTTTTCAGAAATGTTTCATGACACATAGTATAAAATTGTCTCCATAGTTTTCTGCTCGTTTCCTATGTGGTAACGTATGTATCTTTTTAGGATGGAGAGAAATCCAAACTGGTTGAGAAAATGTTTTCCCCATTTGCTAAATTTGAGACAATGGGATTTAAATTATGGGAGCATTAGTGAAAAGGGATGACTTGGCATTGTAAGAATAGAGAGTAGAGTGATATGTCACCACTTTCTGCTCTATTTCAGCCACCACTCCAGTTATCAGCATATTTTCATATATTTGGGAGTGTCATGTTCTGTAAATTATTCCTCTTCGTCCTTTTCCTGAGACAAATTTCACCACGCCTTCTGTCACAGAACACCAAGCCAGATTCACCTCGGGCACCGTAACAGCGCTCCTGCTGGTCCCGATAGCTTTCAAGGAAGTCTGTGGTGTGTGCCCAATGAAGGCTTCTTCATGACAACCTAAAACAGGTGGCCAGATTGAAGGAATCTACCGTTCCTCGGTCTGAACTACATTTCCCAGAAGACTCAGCGGGTCGGATTCTCTTCGCGCGAGACTTTTTCTCGGCAGCTGTGTCACTTGTACGGGTAGTACAGAGGATCCGAAACGTTACAGACTGGGAAGGGCTGTCTGTTGAAACTATGGCTGGAGGCTGGTTGAGGATTCCGAGAACCATTCGGGGTGGAGTTTGCTGAAAGGCTAAACCTCCGAGGGGCGTTGCTGCGAGGGGCGTTTTTCCTTTCGGCGGAACCGTAGCTAACGGCTGGTAGCAACTCTGAAGCTCGGGAGGCCATCTTGTTCGCTTCTGTTCCGCCTCCGACTACGCTTCCCAGGAGACCCTTCGGCATCTCGCGGTAATTGAGTCGAGGTCACGCGCTGGCGGGACCGTTATGCTTTCCCCTGTGATTGCTGCGGTGCTGAGGGGGGTTGTGCTGTTTGGGTGGGGAGCGCGTGGGGCCCGAGGTGAGGAACTGCCCCGGGAGGGCGGAGCCCAGTCCGGAGCCTGAGATTTGTGCAGGCCTGAGTGGAGATTGCAATTGTGTTACTGTGTCTGCCTGATGGGTTGTTGCAGCCGTCCGTTTAAGTGACTGATGACTATTTCTTTCGAATGGGAACATCCTGTGCAGACCCTGTGCTGTGCTATGCGTGTGTGTGTGTGTGAGAGAGAGAGAGAGAGAGAGGTGGGGGGAAGGGAGAAGGAGGAGGGAGATCGAAAGATTTGCACCCTCTGCGGCATTGTGCGAGGGTGCGGGACAGTTGTGACTCGGGTGTCCTCGAGTTTGCCCGGTGGTGGCGAGTGAGTGTATACCCATGGGACTCCGTGCAGCATGTGGGAATACCCGTGAATACTGCTTTACGGTGTGATTGATTGGTTCATGCGATTGGTGTAGGTGTGTGGTGCCTGGAACGGTGCATCTGTGATTGTGAGGCAGTTACAAGCTCACCCGTCCGTTTTGTGTCCCTGCGTGTGTGACCCTGTACCTCCAGATAGGTGACACATGGTGTGGGTGTGGGTATTCTATAGCCAAATACTGTATCATTGTGTGTCTGTGATTACATCTTCGTGACGTTGTATTACTACATTATTGCACTATAGTTTTTCCCCAGTTTAGAACTTCACGTGAACACTGACATGCAGTTGTCTTTAATAATATTTGGAAAACAATATTGGTGAAAGCCATATTAGAGCTCATTTGCTTCATGGAATTTCTTTGATATGTTGTAGTCCAGGCTTTGAAGCATATCTGACAAGAGTCCATGAGATTCTTGTCTCCAATAAACTACTCAGAAAAAATCCAGAAGTTGGGCTGGGATTGTGACTTAGGTAGAGTGCATGCCTACCATGCATGAAGCCTTGCGTTCCATTCCTCAGTACCACATAAACAGAAAAAGCGGGAAGTGGCACTGTGGCTCAAGTGTTAAAGTGCTAGACTTGAGCAAGCCCTAAAGTTGGGACATGCCCAGGCCCTGAGTTCAAGCCCCAGAGCCAGAAAAACAAAACCAAAAAACAGTTACAAGGACAACTTTTAGATATATCATGTATAATAAAGTGCACAAAGCTTTTAAGTATATTAAGTATGCAGATATATAAAATACCTTACGTCACTGCCAAGAAATTAGCCATAGTTAGGCAAGGTGGTACATACCTGTAATTCCTGCATTCTGGAAGTTGAGGCAGGAAGATTACAAGTTTAAGGCCATTTTGGACTACATAGATAGTAGATGTTTCTCTTATGACCTTTCTAGTATAGGAGAATACCATCCCCTTGCCGGGCACCACTGGCTCAGGCCTGTAATCCTAGCTACTCAGGAGGCTGAAATCTGAGGATCATGGTTCAAAGCCAGCCCTGGCAGGAAAGTCCGTGAGACTCATCTCCAAGTGGTGCTGTGGCTCAAGCTGTAGAGCGCTCACCTTGAGCTGAAGAGCACAGGGACAGCGCCCAAGCCCAGAGTTCAAGCCCCACAACCTACCCCCCCAAAAAAAGATTACCATCCCCCCAAAACATATATGTATATTGTCGCAGATATAATGTTACTATATATCATATATAAAATGTGATATTTTACATATATGTTATGGTACTGGAGCTTGAACTTTCAGCCTTGTGCTCTCACTCAGCTTTTAGGTTCAAGGATGGTCCTCTGCTACTAGAGCCATGCGTCCTTCCAGATTTTTCCTAGTTAGTTGGAGATAAGAGTTTCTCAAATTTGTTTGCTCATACTGGCTTTGAGCCTTGGTTCTCAACTTCCTGAGTAGCTAGGTCAGGCCTTGAAACATGACTGGAAACCCAAGCCTATTGCAAACTGAATTGACCAAAGTATATCAAAACTTGAAATGTATAGTCTTTGAGCAACTATATGTTTCAGAATTAAACATTCAGAATTGTTGAATACCACAAAAATTATGGTACATGCTTAAGGCTACTTATTATTAGCATTATTTGTTATAGTGAACAACTGGAAACATCCAAATGATCTTTGGCTACAGACTGATTTAAATAAGTTAAGCAGATCCATGTAATGAAATGAGGTTGGTTGGAGGTATAGCTCAGTTGGTCCAGTACCAGCTAATGAGCAAAGCGTCAGGTGTCAAGTTCAAGTCCCAATCTGGCAACAACAACAAAAGAAATATGAGGCATTTATTTATTTTTATCTTTACAAAACTGATATACAAAAGATTACAATTACATAAGTCAGATAAAGAGTACATTTCTTTTTGACAGTATTAACTTTCCCCCTCCCAGTTTTTCCAATGTGAGGCATTTTAAATATATATAATAGTATTTAGTACTTATCAATTACTCCAAGATTTATCAAATAAAATGGCAGTCTCTGGCAGTATGTATTATGTGCCATAGAGTTATATATTTGTATATGAATAAATCTGTGTGTATATAAACATATTCTCCTAATCATGTTCGTGCTGCTCAAATGAATCCTGTTCTAAAGACTCTTCAGAGTTAGGGATAAGAAATTTGCCTGTTGTTACAGATAACTGTCAGGTGGGTTGGTGTGTGTGTTGGAGTAAAATGACCATTCTGGATGAAAGTCTATTAAGAGCTCCTTTATCTTCCTTTACCTCTCACAGCTCTGCCCTTTTCCTAAGGAGTGTTCAGGAACAAACATAAAAGCCAAAGCCATGGCGCAGGTAAGATGCTGTTGTTTTAAACTCAAAAAGAGGGCTGGGAATGTGGCTTAGTGGTAGAGTGCTTGCCTACCATGCATGAAGCCCTGGGTTCAATTCCTCAGTACCACATACACAAAAAAAGCCAGAAGTAGCACTGTGGCTCAAGCGGTAGAGTGCTAGCTTTGAGCAAAAGAAGCTCAGGGACAGTACCAAGGCCCTGAGTTCAAGCCCCAGGACTGGCAAAAAAACAAAACAAAATAAACTCAAAAAGAATATTTCTCCCACTCTGGACACTAAGGTTTGACCTGAGGGACTTACATACTTGCTTAGCAGGCATTATATCCCTGACCATGCACGTGCCCCTCCACTTGGGCTCCCAGCCCCAAAAGAGTCATTTTTACCTCTAGGCCCACTTAAACATTTACTTTCCTCATAATAATTCTTTTTTTTGGTGGGAGGGGTTCAGTCGTGGGGCTTGAACTCTAGGTCTGAGCTCTCAAGGCTAATGCTCTACCACTTGAGCCACAGTGCCATGTCCGGCTCTTTCTATTTATGTGGTACTGAGGAATCGAACCCAGGGTCTCATGCATGCAAGGCAAGCACTCTACTGCTGAGCCACATTCCCAGCCTCTCATGATTCTTTTTGTATTTGTTAAAAACAAAAACAAAAACCCAGTGGCTCATGCCTGTAATCCTAGCTGCTCAAGAGGCTGAGATCTGAGGATCACTGTTCAAAGCCAGCCTGGGCAGGAAAGTCCATGAGACTCTTATCTCCAATTGGCCACCAGAAAACCAGAAGTGGTGCTGTGGCTCAAGTGGTAGAGCGCTAGCCTTGACTTGAAGAGTTGAGGAACAGCACCCAGGCCCAGAGTTCAAGCCCCATGACTGACAAAAAAAAATAAAAATAATAAAAGAGGAAAAACAAAACAACAGAAAAAGCCTTTCCAGCAGTTTAGTTATAAGCAGTGTCAAAGTACTTACCCATACTGTAAAGGTAAGGTTCTTTTCTATTGGTGGATATATTGATTGATTGATTTTGCTGATACTGGGGCTTGAATTCAGAGTCTGTGCACTGTACCTTAGTTTTGTGTGTGTGTCCTTAAGGCTGATGCACTATCCCTTGAGCCAGAGCTCCACTTCTGGCTTTTCGGTAATTAATTGGAAATAAGATTATGGATTTTTTTCTTTTTATGCCAATCCTGGGGCTTGAGCTTGGGGCTTTGGCACTCACTACCCCTGAGCTCCTATTTGCTCAAGGGTATCACTCTACCACTTGAGCCACAATGCCACTTCTGGCTTTTTCTGCTTAGGTGGTACTGAGGAATCGAACCCAGGGCTTCCTGCATGCTAGGCAAGCACTCTTCCAATAAGCCACATTCCCAGCCCCTCTCATGGATTTTTTTGTCCATGCTGGCTTCAAACTGCAATCTTCTTCATTTCACCCTCCTGATGGGATAGGACTGGAGGCATGAGCCACCTCGTGCATCCATCTATCTTCCTGGCATTTCATTTCCTCTAAATCATGTTCTGTCTTTCCTATTTAGAGCCACTTCATTAATCAAGTCATACATGGTTGTTGTTCCAGGAGGCAGTCGTGTTCAGTGATGTATCCATAGACTTTTCTCAGGAGGAATGGGAATGCCTGACTGATGGTCAAAGAGATTTATACAGAGACGTGATGCTTGAGACCTACAGCATCCTGGTTTCCATGGGTAAGAATGTCTGTCCATACCCTTCACCTTCTTATTTCAGGAGGTCTTCAAATGCAAAATGCTCACTACCAGTTGAAAAACCAGTTGGAAGCCAGGTGCAAGTGCTCATGCTAATAATCCTAGCTACTCAGGAGGCTGAGATATATTGCAGTTCAAAGCCAGCCTGATTAGGAATGCCCATGAGATTATTATCTCCAAAAGCTGGAAGTAGAGCTGTGGCTCAAGTAGTAGAATGCCAGTCTTGAGTGAAAAAGCTCAGGGCTAGTGCCCAAACCCTGAGTTCAAGCTTCAGTACCAGCACACAGACACAAAAAGAAAAAAAAATTGGAGTTCTACATCCTGTTCCCATCGGAGAGTTCTAAACATTTTAGAGTTAGCAATAAAGGCACTCCACTGAGTTATGAAGACATTTGGAATCTAGTGTGTTACATACTTCTGTTGTACTTTTCTTTGCCTCTTTTTGTGATTTTTTTTTTTTTTTTTGGTGGTGGGCTTTTTTTTTCGGTTGCTTGTGGGGCTTGAAATCAGGGCCTGGGTGCCATCTCTGAGCTTTTCTGCTCAGGGCTAGCATTCTACAACTTTGAGCCATACCTCCATTTCTGGTTTTCTGGTGGTTAGTTGCAGATGAGAGTCTCATGGACTTTCCTGCTCCAGCTGGCGTTAAACCAGGAACCTCAGATCTGAGCCTCCTTAAGTAGCTAGGATTATGGGGATGAACCACCAGGGCCCAGAGTTAAGTCTTTCTTTACAAGGGAGGAAATGGACTTGAATTCTGAAGTATTGTCATTATACATTCCTCTCTACTTTTTTTGTGTGTTGTCAGACCTGGGGTTTAAACTCAGAACCTGGATGCTGTCCCTGAGCTTTTCTGCTCAAGGCTAGTGTTACCCCACTTTGAGTCACAGCACCATTTCTGGCTTTTTGGTAGTTACTAGAGATAAGTGTCCCACAGATTTTCCTGCCATGGCTGGCCTCGAACTATAATCCTCACATCTGAGCCTGCTGAGTAGCTGGGATTACAAGTGTGAGCCATTTGCTCTTGATTCATGACTTCTTTGGTTGGCAGGACATTCCATTTCGAAACCTCATGTGATTTTATACTTGGAACAAGGGAAGGAGCCTTGGTTGGGTGATGGAGAGCTGACAAGAGGCCAGTGGTCAGGTAAGTGACGTTTGACAGGGTCCAGTCCAAAATGTTAGTTGAGAAACAATTTCCTTGTGATGCTATCCAGGAAACTTCCCTTAAAATCTTCAGGTCTGTTGTCAAATATAGGAACTTCCTCAACGGAGGTCTCAAATGATCTTACCTTTTGCTGTTATCCATCACCCCTTGCGAGCTTTTTTCCTGTTCTGTTTCTCTCCTCTTTTTTTTTTTTTTTTGTCGGTCGTGGGGCTTGAACTCTGGGCCTGGGCGCTGTCCCTCAGCTCTTCAGCTCAAAGCGAGCGCTCTACCACTTGAGCTACAGCGCCACTTCCGGTTTTCTGGTGGTTTATTGGAGATAGGAGTCTCACGGTCTCTCCTGCCCGGGCTGGCTTTGAACCGCGATCCTCAGATCTCAGCCTCCTGAGTAGCTAGGATTACAGGCGTGAGCCACCAGCGCCCGGCTCTCTCCTCTTTCTAAGCTGGCTCCTCCTCTATCCTGTCTAAGCTTTGCCTCCCTTCCCTTAGTTTGGATCCAGCTTTGGATCCTTTACAGCTTCTCATCCCCTTTTGTAGTTAATCTTTTTTATTTATTTTGTGACAGTACTGAGGCTTGGACTTAGGTCCTCTTGCTCTTGCTTGGCTTTTTTCTTTTTTTTTTTTTTGTCGGTCATGGGGCTTGAACTCGGCCTGGGCGCTGTCCCTCAGCTCTTCAGCTCAAGGCGAGAGCTCTACCACTTGAGCTACAGCGCCACTTCCGGTTTTCTGGTGGTTTATTGGATATAGGAGGCTCACGGTCTCTCCTGATCTCAGCCTCCTGAGTAGCTAGGACTGAGTAGCTAGGATTACAGGCGTGAGCCTGGCTTGCTTGGCTTTTTTCATTCAAGGCTAGTGCTCTCCCACTTGAGCCATGGCTTTACTTCCAGGTTTTTTTTTTAATGGTAATTGGAGATGTCTGAGATTTTTTTGTCTAGGCTGGATTCTAACCTTGATCCTCAGATCTCAGGCTCTTATTTATTTTTGTTGGTCCCAGGGCTTGAGCTCTGGGCCTGGGAGCTGTCTCTGAGCTCTTTAACTCAAGGCAAGGACTCTACCACTGGAGTCACAGCTTTACTTCCAGGTGTTTTATGGTAATTGAAGATAAGAGTCTCTCAAAACCTTTTTGTCTTTTTTTTGTTTTTGTTTTTGTTTTTGTTGGTCACGGGGCTTGATTATGGGCCTGGGCACTATCCCTCAGCTATTCAGCTCAAAATGATCACTCTACCACTTGAACCACAGCACCACTTCCAGTTTTCAGGTGATTAATTGGAGATAAGAGTTTCAAGGACTTTCCTGCCCTGGCTGACTTTGAACCTTGATCTCAGATCTCAGCCACCTTACTAGCTAGTATTACAGGCATGAGCCACCGGTGCTCAGCCTCAAAGACTTTTTGTCTAGGCTGGATTCTAAAACCTTGGTCCTCAGCCTAACCTTGCTTCTTAGATCTCAGACTCTCAAGTGGTTAAGATTGCAGTTGTAAGCCACCAGTGCTTGGCTAGTTGCTTTGATTGCTGCCACGTATGGCAGTTTAACTGAAAATGTGATTTAAGGTGTTGATTTTTATTTTGCCCTCTACTTTGACAATAAAGATTTAATACCTTGTAGCTATCAGAGGAAAGTTGCACCGTGGGTTTTTATCTGATGACAGTACAATTTTAAGTATCTTGTTTATTTCAGATAGTTAATTCCACAATATTAGCTTAGTATGTATTGCATACTTGACAGCTTTTTTTGTTTTTTCCCCTTATAAGCTCTTTATCTACTTTTTAAAAATTCAAATTAATCAGCCTCTCCCCATTTTATTGATGTCAGTCCTGAGCCTTGAACTTAGGGCCTTCTCTTGCTAAGCCTTTTTTTCCTCAAGGCAGGAGATGTACAACTTGATCTACCACTGCAAATACAACTTTTTTGCTGGCTAATTGGACCTAAAATTCTCTTAGATTTGTTTGCCCAGGGCTGGCTTCAAACAGTTCATCTACACATCTCAGCTTCCTAAGTAGCTAAGACTATACATGTGAGCTCCCAGCACCTGGCTAATTTTCCCATTTCAATTAAAGTTGCACTCCTCCAAAATTACAAAACTCTAAGTGACTGCTTTCATTCTCTCTTTCAGTCTTGGAATCACCTGAGACCAAGAAATCATTTCTGCAGAAGGAAATTTGTGAAGTAGGCTTATCCCCATGGGAACTCATGGGAAGACTTGCAAAAGGTGACATTTCAGACTCAGGTTGCCAAGATGAATGGGAGTGTAATGGCCAGGTAGAGAAGCACCCTGGCTCCCAGATGAAGCATTTCAGTGAGCTGATAATCACTTCTGATGACATGCCCTCTTTCAGTCAGCATCCATCCTTCACACTCCAGCACATCATTAATAATAAAGAGAAATACTGTGCCACAAAAGAAAACAGGAAATCCTTTAGGCCTGGCTCACACCTGACTCCCCATGAGATAATTCATACCATAGAGAAGCCCTATGAATGCAAGGAATGTGGTAAGACCTTTAGGCACCCCTCAAGACTGGCTCATCATGAGAAAATTCACACTGGCAAGAAACCCTTTGAATGTAAAGAATGTGGGAAAACCTTTATTTGTGGCTCTGACCTCACTCGACATCATCGAATTCACACTGGTGAGAAACCCTACGAATGTAAGGAATGTGGGAAGGCTTTCAGTAGTGGTTCCAATTTTACTCGCCATCAGCGAATCCACACTGGTGAGAAGCCCTACGAATGTAAGGAATGTGGGAAGGCTTTCAGTAGTGGGTCAAATTTTACTCAGCATCAGAGAATTCACACTGGAGAGAAGCCCTATGAATGTAAGGAATGTGGGAATGCCTTTAGTCAGAGTTCTCAACTTATTAAACATCAGAGGATACACACAGGTGAGAAGCCCTACGAATGTAAGCAGTGTGAGAAGGCTTTTCGTTCTGGCTCTGATCTTACTCGACATCAGAGGATTCATACTGGAGAGAAACCCTATGAGTGTAAGATATGTGGGAAGGCTTATTCTCAGAGTTCACAGCTGATCAGCCATCATCGAGTCCACACTGGTGAGAAACTTTATGAATATAGAGAATGTGAGAAAAACTTTGATTATGGCTCACAACTTCTCCAGCATCAAAATTTGTACTGGTAATGGGCCAGTACATAAATTTATGTCACTGTAAGTAAAGTTTATCTTTCTATCATGGGAAGGTTCAGAACAATTCCATTTAAAGAGAATTTGTGTTTCTAACAACCCCTTTAGATAGAAGAATCTAGGGCTGGGAAGGTAGCTCAGCGGTAGAGTGCATGCCTTGCAAGCATGAGGCCCTGGGTTCAATTCCTCAGCACCACATAAACAGAAAAAGCCGGAAGTGGCACTGTGGCTCCAGTGGTACAGCGCTAGCCTTGAGCTGAAGAGCTGAGGGACAGCACCCAGACCCAGAGTTCAGGCCCCATGACCAGCAAAAAAAAAGAATCTAAAAACATTTTGTTGAGTACAGCTTATTCAGCTGAAGAAAACTGTTGTGAAAACACACATTGAATAGAATATATTTTATAACTTTTGTAATATAAATTTATACTTCTCTTGACTTTATTCAGTCTTACAAATATTTTTTAAGACACTTTTGACTCTTCCAATCTCTTCTTCACCTTTTCTAGTGATGCTGGGGTTTGAACAAAACAAGGCCAGTTCTGTGTTAGGCAGGCACTCTAACCACCACTCTATTACCAGCTCCTCCTAACCTTTTCAGAAACCAGGAGTCATGCAAAACTGAAAGCTTGTAGTTGCCATTTTTTCTGTGACTTTCTTGTAACTGTTGTATTACTATTTTAATCCATCTTGAATTCATGTGACTTGTAAAGTATATCTCTTTCTATCATGGTTTGTAATATATTTTTTTAAAAAATAACTGGGAGAAGTAACTTTTTTGGTTGTGCTTTTGGCTTGAACTCAGGGCCTGGACACTGTCTCTTAGCTTTTGTCTCTTTTTTTTTTTTCAGTCAGGGGGCTTGAACTAAGTGCCTGGTTGCTGTCCCTGAGCTCTTTCACTCAAGGCTAAAGCTCTACTACTTGAGCCACAGTGCCACTTCTGATTTTCTGGTGGTTAATTGGAGATGAGTATCACAGACTTTCCTGCCCAGGCTGGCTTTGAACCATGAGCCTCAGATCCAGTCTCCTGAGTAGCTAGGTGTGAGCCACCAATGCCTGGCTAGTTTTTCTCTTAAGGCTGGTGCCCTAGCGCTTCAGCCATACTTCTAGCTTTTAGCTGGTTAATTAGAGATGCGAGTCTTACTGACTTTCCTGCCTGGGCAGGCTTCAAATCTTCATCCTCAAATCTCAGGCCTCTGAGTAGTTAGAATTACAGATGTGAGCCTTTTTTTTTTTTTTTTTTGTCGGTCGTGGGGCTTGAACTCTGGGCCTGGGCACTGTCCCTCAACTCTTCAGCTCAAGGCTAGTGCTCTACCACTTGAGCCACAGCACCACTTCCGGCTTTTTTCTTTTTTCTTATATGGTGCTGAGGAATCGAACCCAGGGCCTCAGGCATGCAAGGCAAGCGCTCTACCACTGAGCCACCTTCCCAGCCCCAGATGTGAGCCTTTTTAATTTTTGAAGATGGCCTGTTTTTGCTCTATGCAAAATTCTGTGGTTTCTTTGTAAAAACATTCCTAAGCAACTCCCCACATAGTAAAGATGCTAGACTCTGTAATCATAATGCTGTATGTATAATGGCTACTGTAATATGGCTTTATTAACTCCCACTCAACCTATTGGCTACTGTAATACTGCTTTATTAACCCCCACTGGTAGGCATTAGAGTTTTTTCAGCTGTTTGGCACTATGCATGCTAAAATGTAGTTATGGATAAACTACAATGTCTTCCTGGACCTTCACCACAGGCAAATCTTTGTACTAGGTCTTTTTAAACTATAGAAATATGTCATGAGGGCTAGGAAGGTGGCTCAGTGGTAGAGTGCTTGCCTTGCATGCATAAGGCCCTGGGTTCAAGTCCTCAGCACCACATAAGCAGAAAAAGCCAGAACTGGCACTGTGGCTCAAGTGGTAGAGTGCTAGCCTTGAGCTGAAGAGCTGAAGGACAGCTCCCAGGCCCAGCGTTCAGCCCCTACAACCAAAAAAAAATATGTTAAGAATATATTTCTTTCCTTCAAGGAAACTAAACCTATATTTCCACTAGAAATAATGGTTTTTATATTAATTCCGTGTTTGCAGCAGATTCATTCAATATTTTAAGCTTTATGTGCCATTTTATCTGGGTAACCAATTCTGCCCTCCTAACTCAAACACCACCACAGAACACAATCAAGCTACGGGTTATGTTCTGAGAAATCCTTATTAATACAAATGAACTATAAATTTGAAAGTGGAAGCAGATTGTGAGTTCAAAGCCTTCCTGGGATACATGGTGAGGCCTTGTCTTATTTTAGCCATATTGCTTCTCTTTTTTCTATTTGGCAGTAATAGGATGAAAATTCAGAGCTGCCTGGTGCCAGTGGCTCATGCCTATAATCCCAGCTACTCAGGAGGCTAAGATCTGAGGACCGCAGTTCCAAGTCAGCCTGGGCAGGAAAATCTGTGAGACTCTTATCTCCAATGAACCACCAGAAAACTGGAAGTGGTGCTGTGGCTCAAGGTGATAGAGCGCTAGCCTTGAGCTGTAGAGCTCAGGGACAGTGCCCAAGCCCAGAGTTCAAGTTCCAGGACCGACCGAAAAAAAAAAA